CCTCCTGCCTGTCCCTGGCTCCAGCTCTCCCTCCTCTTCTTCGGTCGGTCCTGCCCTGTCTGTCCCCCAAGGTTGCGGCCACCCCAGCTAGGTGAAGACGCCGCTACACATGTTGCGCTGGAAGTTGGGCCCCGGACATTGCAGAGGCTGTCGGGGTGTCCTCTCTCCACCCCGACCCCGTGGGGATCCCCCTCCGCCCACCTGGGGTGCCCCCCTCTGCTGCTTCAGCCCCAGCTCCTCCCCCAGTCCATGTGTCCAGTTCCGCCTCCCCCTGGCACATAGGCACCCCCCTTTGTGCTCTCAGTGCCGCCCCCCCCCCAGCGTCTGTGTCTGTCTGTCTGTCTGGGTCACCTCTGAAGCTGGTGGCTGGCGCGTGTTGGTGTGCAGGAAAGGGAGACTGTCTATGTGGGGAACTGCTGGCCCCTTCCTCGCTTGGCCACCTCCAGACCCCCCCTCCGGTGCCCCCACTGTCAAACACAGGCAGGAGCACACACACAGACACACAGTCCACACGCACAACCTCACTTCACTGGGATTCCCCCCAACTCCCCCGTAGCTCGAGGAGGGAGACACGCGCGCGCGCACGCACACACACACACACACACACACACACACACACACACACACTCACAGAGTGGATGCAATGGGGGCCTGGCTGCCACTGCTGCCCAGAGCTATTTAGACAGACAGGAGGACACGACAGCCGGGGCACCAGACGCCCAGCCGGCCGGATGCAGGCGGGAGGCACAGAGCTCAGGTACACACCATCCATCTGGATTTGGGGGGCTGGGGGAGGATACTGGGGAGCCCATGACATCCAGGCAGGCGGCTCAGAGTCATACTGACAGACCCCTCCCTCCCTCAGCCGCTGCAGCCCTGACAGACACACCCCCCCCCCACCAGCCCAGCCCCAGACACCAGGACACACAGATCCTCACCGGGCAAATGGCAGACGCACAAGAGACCCCTGGGGCCCTGGCAGACCCACCCAGGCAACACCCCCTGGCTGGGCACCAGTGGCTGAGGAAGGCAGTGGGTGGAGGGTGGCTGTGGTAGCCGCGGCTTGGAGGAGCTGAAGCAGGAGGGACTGGCATGCTAGCTCTGTTCTCTCTCTCTCTCTCTCTCTCTCTCTCACACACACACACACACACACACACAAATGCTCTTTCACTCGGGATGTGATTAACATTCAGTGCCCGTTCGCCCCTGCCAGGAGACCCACAACCCCCCTTTCTTGCCTCCCTGGGGACCTCTCCTGCCCAGCCTGGGGGACAGCATCTTTGCCACCACCCACCAGTTCACAGCCGCTGCCTTCCTCCTGGGACAGGAGTGAGGGGCTGCAAATAAAAAATGTGGACACCCTTCTCCTCAACACCCCCCTCCCCCACAGGATTCACATTCAGTATTAAGACATCAGCTTCAAACCTCAACTCCAGGGCTTGGAAGCCTGTGCCCTCATGACCCCCCCTCCCCAATTTCAGACTGGAGAAGCTGGAGGCCATTCCTGGACTTCACTCTTGTCCATGCTAAAACCCATCTTTTGGCTTTTATTACCCCAGAGGACCACACCTGCAAAGTAGGTTTCCAGGCTCCCAGTCCCTCCTCCCTCAGATCCAGGAGTCCAGACCCCCAGCCTCCTTCCTCAGGAATCCAGGCACCTCCTCCAGCCTGAGTCGCTTTTAGGCACTCATACAAACTGGCCCTGGAGGACAAACTACCCTCACGTACCCACAAATCTAAGACTAGTGGTTGCCACCCCTAGACACCCAGCCCATCCATCCTGAGGAAACCAGAGTCTCTCCTTCCCCCCTCTTTGGTTGAAGGATCCCAGCCTGTCTTCCATGAGTAATGAAACACCTGAAAGAGAAAGCTATGTCTACCCTCCTAAATACAGTTCAGTCCCCAGAGGGTCCTTCAAGACCAGCTGCCCAGTCCCTGACCTTCCTGCTAGGGAGGCTGCCCACTCCCACTTCTGTAAAAGTGCCATGCAGTGCTGGGGTGAGTAGGGTGCAGGATACCAGGCTCATGGGGGTGGAGAGGGAGGAGAACCTGTGAGGGGGAAATTTTGGTGTACACGGAGGTAGGGCCCAAGTTTTGGGTTGAGAAGTGGAGTAGGTCTGAGTTTTGCACTTTAGCATGTGAAGTGGGAAACAGGTATTGGATATAAGGAAGAAGACTCATAGTCCTGGAGAAGAGATTTGGGACCTGAATTTATGGGTGCCATAGGGAGGAAGGGATTGTGGCTCTAGATTCCTGGGGCCAGGATGTTTGAGACTGATATAAGGTGTTTGAGGTTGGGCTCAAGGAAGGGGCCAACTCCATGGGTGAGGGAGAAAGCCCGGGGACCTGGACTCTTGGGTCTGGAGGCCTGGACTCCTGGGTCTGAGGGAGGGAATGGGGGCTGTTTTCTTGTTCCGAGGTGCACTGAGCTGGGGGGTCCCTTTAAGGGGCAGAATCTGAGAGCCCAAAGTTCAGAAACCAGTTTCCCGAGTCACTCAAAAGCAGAGGCTGGGCTGAAATCCTGACAGTCTGTGAGTGCGCGAGGGAGCAGGTGTGGGATTTGGGAGGTTCAGATCCACAGACCCCACAAGTTGCTAGGAGGTACCTTGGGTATATAGTGCGCGCCGCCGCCGACTCTGTAAGTCGGAAGGTTCCAGGCAGGGGGCGCCGGAGATCCGGGACTCCGCCCTCGGGGGCGGAGCCTCCCGCGGGACCCTCCCCCTCCCGCCCTCCTCCCTCGTCCCAGCGCCAGCTCTGCCGCCAGCTTGGGCCTCGGCTCCCCCTCCCAGAGCCCCCTCCCCGGAGCGGAGCCCACCCCAGGGCCCCTCTCCCGTTCCCCAGCCCAGCCGCCCGGCCAGAACCGCAGCCCCGGGAGGCAGCTTCTCGCCAGCCTGCCTCCCTCCAGCCCAGCCCTGCCAGACCCCCCCAACCATGAATCTCTTCCGATTCCTGGGAGACCTCTCCCACCTCCTAGCCATCATCTTGCTACTGCTAAAAATCTGGAAGTCCCGCTCATGTGCTGGTGAGAGCCCTAATGGGATGGGAGAAGGGGGTGGGGGGAGTGCAGGGGACATCCCCAGAGCGGGGGAAGCATTTGGAGGCGCTAAGGGGACAGGTTCCTTCCCCGCCCTCCGTCCCCCACTTCTTGCTGGGGATCCCTTTTGCAGGTCCGGGGTCACCAGGGGGTCAACTTCCTTCCCCAGGCCGGGGGTGCATACGGTTTGGTCGGGGTGGCTCCAGGCACCCACTTAAACCTCCCCCCACCCCATCTGGGTGGCCCCCGGGTTCCGACTGGGAACAGGGAGCCGTGGCAGGCAGGGAGGTGGCTGGGAGTTGGTGACGTGGAAGGTGGCGGCCAGGAAGGGAGCGGAAGGGGTGAGGCTGGTTTTGGGGGGGCTGAGTTACAATGGGACCCTCCTCAGTCCCCACCTTGGGTGTGGATTGTGGGAGGACCCGGAGGGGACTAGGGGTGGCCATGAGGCCTAACCTGGGACAGAGCCTCGGGCTGGAGTAGCTTCCGGACCAGCGCTGCCCCCTGGCTGTGGGCCGTGGGAAAGGACCCAGCTCTGGCAGGCTGGCTGGGGAGGCCTCCAGGGACAGCTGCACTCCAATGCTGCCTCTAGCCTGGTCAGATGTAGGAACTTAGTTTGTTTTCCGTGAATCCCATCCCCAACCCCCGCTACCTCCCTTCTCCCCTCTTTCTGGACCATAGGGATTTCAGGGAAGAGCCAGGTCCTGTTTGCTGTGGTGTTTACTGCCCGATATCTGGACCTCTTCACCAACTACATCTCACTCTACAATACTTGCATGAAGGTAAAGACTCTACTCACATCCCTGGGCTCTCCTGAGGTGGGGGTGCCAGGTGAGAGTCTGAGGGAGGAAAAAATGGGTCTTAGGCTCCAGGGTCTAAGGAAATGGGATCTGGACTCCCAGGTCTGAGGGAGGAGGGGCCTTTGGGGGTTCAGACTCCTAGGTCTGAGAAAAGAAAGGCTTCAATCTGGACTCCTAGGTCTAAGAGAGGAGAAGCTGGGCTCCCAGATTCCCATTTCTGAGGGCAGAGGAGGCTGTTGAGGGGTCCAGACTCCTGGATCAGAGCCTGTGGCGGGCTCTGTGCCTTGAGCTGAAGGGCCTTCTCATTTTGTTCAACAGGTCGTCTACATTGCCTGCTCTTTTACCACGGTATGGATGATTTACAGCAAGTTCAAAGCCACTTATGATGGGAACCACGACACATTCCGGGTGGAGTTCCTCGTGGTCCCCACGGCCATCCTGGCTTTCCTGGTCAATCATGACTTTACCCCTCTAGAGGTAGGTGTCCTGGCAGGGACCCCATCATGGTGTGGGTGGGCTGTGGCAGAATGGTAGTTGATGGGCTTGACCCTCTCACAGGCTTGTCTGCAGTGTCTATTCAAATTTCCTTATTTTGGGATGTGGTCTCTGGAGTTAGATGATAACCAGGCTCCAGCAACTGCGCCTGATACAGCTCTAGCAGTTCATGTACAAGAATTTAAGACTTTTCACGACAGCCTGTTTGACCTACAAGAAATAGGTATAAAACACTCGTCCAAGGTCAGGAGACTCATGAATAGCTCAAGAACTGGGGATAGGAGCTCTGGAGCCAGGCTGCTTGAATTGGAATTACAGATCTGCTTCTTTCTATGTATGTGACTTGGGCAGGTGGCTTGCCTGTTCTGTGCCTCAGTTTCTCTGTTTGTAAAGCTGACATTAGGTCATCTTGAGGACTTAATGGTGAAACACATAGACTCTTGAGCCAGCAGTTGGGATCTCCAAGCTGACCTCCATCATAGCCAGGGACTCTGGGTGCCTCCATTTCATTCTCTGGAAAATGGCCACCATCCATCAATAATGGATAGGGTCCTGAAGAAGGGTTAATGTTGGCCAAGTAGTGTCTGGCCCCAGGTAGGAAGTGCTATGTCAGTGTTTGTTCAGTGACTGAAGTCTTTTCCACCAGTTCCATACTTTTACGCTAAACATTAACTGTGTGGTTTTGATTGCGTGTATTTGGGGGGACCTGTGCAAATTCCTGGGAGGAATTTTGAGAGGGTCTGCGGTGAGTCTGCCATCTCGTGACTGCTGGGCCTGGCAGGAATCCTAAATATGGAATTGCCTCTCCTACCCTTTAACTTCTGCCTTATAGTTAGGAGATTGGCCCAGCATGCAGAGATTTACAACAGAAGCCACAATCTGGGAGTTTTTTTGTGAGTTTTGGCTGCACAGTCTTGGCCACAGAGTGGGAAGATATTTCAGAAAGCAGTGTGCTAGTGGGAGAGATCTGATGGAGGCTGACATGGGCTGCTGACATGGTGTCAGAGGGCAGTGATAATGTGCCTTGACACGACTGTGCCTGGCTTTGACTGCAGCCCTGGACTTTGCAAACCTATCATCTACCTTGCCTGGAGCACTCATCCTAGCACATCCCATTTTACAGATGGGGAGACTGAGGCTGGGAAAGGCAGTGGGGCTTGCCCTGAGTAGAAGTGGCTGGACTCAAAAGCAGATCTCTTTGGTCATTCCTTCAGATGAGGGAGGTCCCTGGTGTGTAGCTGGCATCAGTTAGCATCATTTAGATAAATCTGTCATCATTCTGTCTGGTACGTTGGCCACCCAGGTACACAGATATCCCATTCCCACTTCTTTAAGGACTAAGAGGAAGTGCAGAGGGTGATAGTGCACAGGAATGGAACCTAGATCCCCCTGCTTTCAGAACCATGCTGTGATTGGGCATGCTAAAAATATATTGTTTTGCTCCTAGTTTTCTACAAGGAAACTATTCCTTTAAAAAAAAAATCTTATTTTACTTTCAAAAAAATTACATTTTTTATGGATGTGACATTGAGTCACAACACTGCTTGTGATTTAGGGGTATGGGTGTATGCCTCTTTGGATAGAAAAAAACTATTCTTTGAACATTCAGTTGCCACAAAATGGATCAAATAAAATGTGACTGATCTTCCATCCCCTCCTAAGTCATGATTCTGGTCCCTCAGGGTGATCCTGGGTAACAGTTGTGTGGTTATCAATTAAATGGGTACATTCCTGAGAGGATCTAGCAACCCAGCTTATGGGAGGGAGGGCTTCCCTTCCCAGGAGTTTCGCTGGAGGATTCTGAACCATTATGGGAGAAGGCCCTCCAGCCCAGCTGGGGTCGGAATCTTTCTATCCCCACCTTAGCTGTGTGACTTTGGACAAAGTAACTTATCCTTCAGTCTCAAGTCTTCTCAGTGTAATGTGCTAACAATAGGACATACCTCATAAGGTTGAGGCAGAAGCCAGTTCATACCTGTAAGTGCAATGCTTGGGGCACAGTGTAATGTCACTGTGAGTTTTATGGATATGTTCTGATGTCCCCCAGTAAGTCACCCCCTTAAACCAAACAACTAAGAGGAAGGATCCACACCTGCACCTGGCTTGGTTCTCTGTGGGAGGTTTCGACTGATCTACAGACCTTAAATCACCCCAGCTGGAACTTTCAGGGAGCTGAGAACTGAAAAGGGACCACAGATGTCTGCACCTTTCCTTCCCCTGTCCTGCTCACTGGAGATGACTGTCATAGCTCCCTAAATGGGAGCCCATAACAGGCATGTGGGGAGCTCCTTCTAGATACTGTCATTCACTTATACATTCAGGCATCACATATGTGCTAGGCACTGTGCCAGGGGCTAGGGGGAACAAGATGTAAAATCCTGGGCCTTGTGGAACTTACATTCTCATGAGAGCTGCCAGGAAAGAGATTTGATGCAGTAATATGACAGTCTTGGGGGCAAGATGGCCAGGGAAGACAGCTCAGGAAGTGCCTGATGAGCTAAGGTTAGAAGGAGGCAGAAGAGAGTGGGTTGACAGTCTGGGGGAAGAGCTGAGAGGATAGCAGAAACAAAGGCCCTGGGGCAGGAAGAAGGAAGTGGGTACACTGGAGAACCAGATAGGCATGGCTGACTGCCAGCCATTAGGAAAGTGAGGGAGAGAGTGGGAGATGAACTGGAACAGGAAGGGCCTGGAAGGTTAGGACTTCCCTTTTTATTCTGGTTGAGGTAAGAAGGAGCTTCTGGAGAGTCCTCTGGAGTCTCTAAAATCCTCCCCACTTTAGAGATAAGAAAGTTTTGAGCTGGGAAAAACAGTTGATTCTTACCCAAGATTGCAAAGAGGGAAGTCTCAGCCTCAAGCCTTTGGGAGAGGTACTTCAAAGCCCTCTAAAGCACTGACTCCAAGCCCTGGGTTCAGATCTCAGCTTTGCCACTGACCAGCTATGTGGTTTCGGTCAAGTCTCCTACCCTGTCTGGGCCTTGGCTTCTCATTGGTAGAATGAGATGTCAGGTACATGTGGGGTGGGCACAGTACTCCATGTGGGCATGCATTGCCATCCAGTTCCTCTCTCTCCAATCCCCTGCCTGCTCCTGCACCCACAGATCCTCTGGACCTTCTCCATCTACCTGGAGTCAGTGGCCATTCTGCCACAGCTATTCATGGTGAGCAAGACCGGCGAGGCGGAGACCATCACCAGCCATTACCTGTTCGCGCTGGGTGTATACCGCACACTCTATCTCTTCAACTGGATCTGGCGCTACCACTTTGAGGGCTTCTTCGACCTCATTGCCATTGTGGCTGGCCTGGTCCAGACGGTCCTCTACTGCGATTTCTTCTACCTCTACATCACCAAAGGTAACCCTTGTGGAGGGCACCCAGAGGACTTGTGTTCCTTTGCAGCTCCTGCGTTGCCGCAGGACATCCCTGGCTCTGGATCACTTATGGGAGGGAGGGCTTCCCTTCCCAGATTCAGGGCCCTAGGAATTCAGACACCCCCCACCCAAGGGCTGCCTTTCCAAGAACCAAGGTGTTCTGCCCCAGGTTTCCAAGTAAAGGTTCGGCAGGCAGCAGGGGCCTCCCTCCCCACACTAGCTAGGCATCCCTCTCTCCGGCTTCCAGCTCCTGGAGGAGAGAGGACAGAGAGGCAGGGGTGGCCACTGACTTATCTCCCTGAATTTACAGCTGTTGAAATTCCTCCCTCTGCCTTGATATTCCAGAACTGTAATTTTTTCATTTCCTAGAAATGAAAATTTAGAATTCCCATCTAAATCAGTCCTAGCAGTGTTCAGAGGAGGGAGGGTCTTTTCTTCACTGACTACCCTTACCCTCAGGGACTCTGGCCCACCAAGACATTCATTCAGAGACTCAGACCCACTGACATGTATTCATTCATTCAACCGAAAATTTCTTGATAATTTTCCATATGACTGTCTGGGTGCCAGACTCAGGGCATGTGGCAGTAGGAACAAAGATGGGACTAATGGTGAAATGAACAATAAAGAGATGACTGCATCTCTTTAGTGAGATGGGCCCTGACAGAAAGGAATCAGAGACATGTTAGTGAACAGGTGTGTAGGGTGAGAGTCTACTTTCAGGAGGTCAGGGAAGGCCTTTGTAAGAAGATGACATTTATAGCAGAAACTTGAGAAATTGGGACCTCAGTCAGTGGGAAGAGGGGATAGCCGGATAAAGACTGGAGAGATCAGAAAGGGTGCTCCCTCTGACCCCCACTCCGTGAAATTCAAGGTCTCCAGCTTGGGCATCTTTCGTGGGTGGGAGAGGGCCAGTCAGCACCAGATGAATTTTAGGACTCCATTGCCTAGCCTCCCAATACCAGATCAGGGTTCCCATGAGCCTATTCCTCAGTAAATGAGGCCAATCTCCTCTGCCCCATTTGTAATCCATGGTCCTACCCACGGGTCCCTATACCTGCTCTGGGTGAGGGTAGCAGTCTCCTTCCTCAGGCACCCCCATAGTAATGTGCCCTCCTTTCTTTCCTCACAGTCCTAAAGGGGAAGAAATTGAGTTTGCCAGCCTAACCCCGGTCCTCGTCCTCGCCATCCCTCTCTTTGGCAACAGCGGCAAGAGGCAGGGGAAGGCAACGAAAGACAAGAACCTTTCGGTCCAGGGGTGACTTTTGAAAGAACCAACTTCTCCCCACTTCCCATCGTCCCCTCCTGCTGGGTTTCAGGGGGTGGTGGAAGACCCCCAAGTCTTGGGGAGCTCAGGACCTGGGCTGTTTGTAGTTTTTTGCCTTTTAGAGAAGAAAAAAAAAAAGCTTTCCACTATTTAGTTTTTGATTCTGATGAAACCGCTTTCTCTTCTACTCTCTAGTCCCCATTTTTATAAACTGTTTCTGAGTGTCCTGCGGGACATGGCAGGGTGGGAGAGCTTTTCCCTCCGCTAGGCTCTCAGCTCCCTACCAGATTCTATGCCTAGCCCCAGGGGTTGCCAAACACTAAGTCTGCCAATACCTTCATTGGCCCAATCTCCTGCCATAGCCATGAACCATCGCCACCAGCCCCCCAACTTTTGGACTGAGGTGTGGGGGATGGGAAGGGTACCCCTGATTTTTTCATAATAATGTTTTCCCAGAGCTTGGATTCTTTGGTCTTAGCCTCATTTTTGGCAATTTAGGGGGCCAAGGGGCTGGGCATGGGAGGGGAGCTGGCCAGAGGGTCACTGCGGCTCTCCCGCTGTGTTTTTGTACAGAATTGTTGGTTGATTCTTTGTTCTCTTGAAATAAACCGAGGAAAATGATGCCTCTCTTTCACTACTTGTGGCCCTCTCTCTGGCGTTTGACTCTGCTGATCCCTGACTCTTCCTGGCTCCCCTGGGGGAAGAGGTTTTAGAGAAAAAATCTTAAACATTCTTACTTTAGCACAGAACTTTCCTGACACTTGTCCTGAATTCCTGGGATGACCTTCACAAGCATGTGTCTCAGAGGTCATAGGCAGCCCCTGTCTCCTTGCCCCCACTTAGTGGGCATTTTGTTGAACCCCATTGGATGCTTTCTTAATAGAATTAGCTGCCAGCCTTAGAAAAACAGATTTCTACATTAAAGTCAACATTTCTGGCTTCTCTTGAAGAAAGAAATCCATCAATATGATGATGCCAGGCCTGTCTTTCTGGGTGGTAACAGATGGCAGGAGTTCAGTGGCTGGGCCATTCAAGCTTTTCACCACAGTCCCCAGGCCTTGGCTGAGGCTTGTCACCAGTTCATTATTGGACAGACGCTGTTGATTTGGGTTTTGTGTAGTAAAAGGGCAAGTGAAATATGGCTCATGTCTCCCCAGATTAGCTCTGCACCTGGCCTAGTTCCTTCAAGCAGGGAGCTCTTGGTGTTTTGCCTCCTAACTTAGTCACATTTCTTAGATGTCCACTGATCCCTTCCTTAACCATGTTAATTACCTCTAGGTTATAGAAACTTAAGGTTTCTAGACTAACTTTAGAAACTGAAGTTTCTAAATCAAGTGGCAGTAGCCGGTGTTTGAAAACATTACAAATGCCAGGCACTGTACCTTACCCAGATGTGCTCACTAGGTCCCCTTAAGCAGGGTGGCTTGCAGAGGAAACAGGCATGAGGGCCAGAGGTGGGTTTTGTGTCCTTCCTACCTTTCTGATGCCAGAGCCTGCCTGTTCAACCCCAACTAGGGTATCTTTTTCCAATGGTTTTTCTCATTTCTTTGAAGAGGGATTTTGCCTAATATGGAAAATGCTGGAACAAAAGCAGTTTGGGTTGATTTGGGGGGCTGAGGGGTGACACCCCTTTGGGTTTAATTTGAAAACTGTCAGTCCAAATCTGGTCTGAATCTGATTTTATAGCCCACACAGCTCGGCTCACAGAAACAAAATGACATGTCATAGGTCATCCATCTAGTGACCAAGTGAAGACTTGGCCGAATCCTCCCATTTCCCAGTGAGCATACTACTCATCCCACTGCCCACAGAAACTGTGTCCTACTTATTCCTGTATTCCCTGAATTTGAATTGAATACAGGGCCTGTTGCACAGGACACCTCAAAAAAAATGGGACCAGGGAGCTCCATTTGAGTCCCAACATTCATATGCCTTTGTCCAGCTTGTGGCTTGATGCTCTACAGGCCATTGCAGGCTCTTCTATGCCTGTGCTTTGTTTGGCTTGCCTAACATTAACATGTTTTAGAGCTTATAAATATAGTTTTTGTTAATTAGTAGACTTTAATTTTAGAGCAGTTTTGGGTAAATTTTTAAAAGTTCATTGCCAAAATATTCCACATAAAGTTAATTCATCCTGATATTCCTACACTGGAATGTCCAGCTATCCTAGGGAAAGCAGAAGGTTCTAGAGCGGCATCATCTAACATGTGTCCTGGAGATAACATGTGACCAGCAGTTGAAGTGGGAATCCAAAGGAGGTGTGGGAACTTACTGTGAAAGCATATAAAATTCTCCATGAAGGATTTTTATATTGATGATGTCTTGGATGTGTGGGTTAAATAAAAGACATGAAATGACTATCTACTCTTTCGTTCTACTTTTCTTCATGGGGCAACTGCAACCTAGAACTGTCCCCCATGACTCATGTTGTGAGAGTTGCTCTGGACTCCTGCCTGGACAGCCTCCGACCCCATCCCCCTTTTGGGGTGCTTCACCCACGAGAACAGATTTTTGTGGCCTGCTCATGAGTTCCTCATTAGCTTTGGGGTTCTACAGTAAAACCCTTTCCTCTGTCCTGACAGTCTTTAAAATATTTGAAGATAAGGTTCTGGTCTGGTTTTAGTCATGGAACAGCCACCCCCTGTTCCTTCAGTGACTCCTCACAGTTTGGTTTCTACGTGGGGTCCTTGTCTTGGTAAGGGAAAGGTCTCCCCTATGGGGCTGGAAGGGGGCAACATTTTATATTTTTTTCCCTGACCTTGATCTCAGCTCTACAGTGGGGCCCCCTCTCATGATTCATGTGAGGAGTCAAGGACTAGCTGTGGAACAGCCCTGAAGAGTAAGTCTGTTCCCACCCTGATGGGCCCCCATCCCAGTGGCCCCCTGGAAGTGCTGGCAGATGAGACCTCAGCACAGACCCCTGTGGTAACCTGAGAGGACTCCTCCCACCCAGCCCACTCCACAGCGGAACAGACATGCACAGGACAAAGAGAAGGCTGTTTCAGAAACCTTCCTGCAGGGAGGGTTATCTCTTTACTGCTGGGAGACTGTTTAGTCATCAGACATCATAGCAAGGCGGGGAACCTTTGGAGTGGTCAGATAGGGGGACAGAGCGGAGCTGGCATAACTCAAGCTGTTGGCTCCAGCAGTGGGTGTGTTGATGGGGCTGGTGGCTGAAGGTGGGGAGATGGTGGTCAGCACTACACCACCCTCATCCAGAGAGCGCTTGTAGGGGACAGGAGTATCATTCCGGAGGTCCTGGAAGGCCAGGTAAGCCTGGAATATCTGTGGGCAGAAAAGGGTTGACTGGTGCTGGCTTGGGCAGGGTGGGGAAGGAGCTGCTGGTGCAGAGGGTCCCATGACTCCCTGCCCGGGGGCACCCAGCACCATCCCTAATGCTGGGCTTTTGTTTGCAAGGGTAGCTAACTTCTTTTCCATCTGTCCAGGTCCCTCAGGTCACCCTAGGTCACAGAAAAGGCTAATGGGGGCCCTGGAAGGGACCCCTTTGATCCCACCCCCTGAAGAGTATGCCCAGGGAAGGGGCTCTCCTCACCCAGGCAAGGATGGAGAAGAAGGCGAAGGTGATTGCCGCCCTGGCGCTGGTGCTCCCCAGGAGGAAGTGTTTGGGGGGCGAATGCTGCCACTGGTTGGCCAGGAAGCAGAAACCCACGAACCAGATGCCTGTCCAGAGGACTGTGGGGTCATGGAGAGAAGAGGGGTAGGGGGAGAACTGGCTCAGGAAGGGCAGCTGGGGCCTAGATCGGCCTCTTAACTCCCAGCCCTCAGCAATACTCAAATCCTGGGGAGCAGCCCTGTGCACAGAAAGGCCGCTGGCCACACCTGGCTATGTATATCTCCATCAATTCTAATAGAATTTAGGACCATGCAGGCTAAATTCTAGTGGTTGCAGTGGTCACATTGGGCTCCCGAGTTGGGACTGCAGGTCCAGAGCATCTCCACCCTCCCAGAATGTTCTCTGGAATGGTGCTGCAGCTGCTAGCCTCTGAGGGCTCTGAGATGCTGGGACTGTCCTGGGTACAGAAGGAAGAGGTAGGGGAAGAGCAGAGATCAGCCAGACTGGGAGGAAGGAGTCTGGAGCCCTGAGGACAAGGCATACCCATATATTTAGCACTTACTGCTATATGCTGGGCTTCCTCAACCTAGGGTGCTTGGCTGCCTGACTTTGCTTAGAAGCCTGGACCTGCCACTCAGCAGTTGTGTGCCCAATTATGTAAAATCCTCATTCCTCAGTTTTATCCTCTGTGAAATGGGAATATGAACAAGACTTTCCTCCACAAGCTGGTTCTGAGGGATAAATGAGACAGGCACCTGGTGCCCTGGACTCCAGGCTTGACCTTGAGCCATGGGATACAAACAGGAAACATCAACCTCAATCACTAAAGCAATCTTGCTCTCATTTTATCCTCAGAAAATCCTTGTGTGGTGGGAGTTTACAGCCCCCCTTCTTCTGCAGCCCAGAAGAGACACACTCAGGCCCCCAGAAAAGAGAGAAAGTACCAAGTGGAGATGGGAACACAGTTCTGTCTGACTTTGCACTCCTGCACTTTGAGCCCAAAGCTGGATAGAAAGGGAGGCTTCTGGAATAGTCTGGGGGTCAGAAAAGGTGACCTTTACCCTGAGTTTAAAGGAGAAGGATAATTCCTCAGGAGGAAAGAGCAAGTACAAAAGAGCTGCAACAGGGAGCTAGGCGGGTAAAGAGGCTGTGGGGGCCAGGGGCAGCTCTGGGGCTGGTTCCCAGGGCTCACCAGCCAGGATGAAGTCCAGGAGCTGGAAGGCTGTCTTGAAGCGGGTGTTGGCAATGCGAGCCTCCTGGGCATCCAGAAGCAGGAAGAGCAGGCAGGTGAGGAAGGCCAGGAGGCCAGCTCCCACTGCAAAGCTGCAGGCCGGGGCATGGCTGTTGAGCACACAGTGCAGTTTTGAGGAGTCAGTCTTGTTCTGGTAGCCATCGGTCAGCAGGGAGGAGAAAACGATGAGAGAGAAGACCTGTGGGGACAGGAGAGGGGTTTCCAGGGCTCAGAATAGAGCTCAGCATCTCCTAAACTTGTTGATGTCCTCAGATCCTGCGGGGAGACAGCAGGCTCTGTCTTGTGTCCAATGGGCCCTGGTCCTTGGGCCTGGTCTTCTCTTGCTGAGTCCGCCCATCAGGACCCTCAGCCTATTGCCCAAAGGATCCCAGTGGGTCTTTCCACAACCTGCCCATTCTAGCTCTTTTGGTTTCTCTTTTCAGTCACCCCTCGCCGACTCACCTACACTCTCCCTCAGTCACCCCAAACTGATACAGGGCACCAAAGGCCAGGTACCAAATGCTGGGCACAGGGCCCAAGGAAGAGCTCAGTCAGTATTCGCCATCAGGGCTATTCTCTCCATCTCCAAGTTCTTTCCTCTGCCTTCAACTTTTCCTTCTCCCATCCAGCATGGGGTAATGCCTACTCATTTTTTCAGATTGCTACACTTTAATCCCTTATGCTACAAGGGAGGCCCTCCTATTCACTTTTCAAATAAATTTGTAAAGCATCATGATTGATATTTGGATTTGGTATAGAGACATGATAGAATACTCTTCAGGCATGGAAAAATGTTAAATCTTGTCATTTACAACACCAGGAATGGATCTAGAGGGGATAAGGCTCAGTGAAATAAA